GTGGGCTGAGTTGGACGGGATATGAGAGAGGTGGCATTTCCCTTGGATAATTGGGGGGAGGGGGATTTTATTAGTCAGATTTTCCTGAGATGAGGAGTGGTGATAGTAGATGCAGGGGTAGACAAGGCTTCTCACAGTTTTTGAGAAGATGGGAGCTAGTGGACTTACCTTTATTGCGGGCAAGGTACACCTGATCAGGAGGATCCTGTGTTAGTGAAGTTGGACAGATTTATAGTTTCCACTGACTGGGAGGATAGCTTCCCATATCTATCCCAAGAAGCACTGCCCCATCCTCTATCAGACCACTCACCAATTCTTTTGGACTGTAAAGGATTAGCCACCATTAGAAATCCACCTTTCAGATTTGAACATTTGTGGTTGAAAGAGGAAGGCTTCATGAATCTGATTAGAAGGTGGTGGGAGGAGTGTACAGTAATGGGAACAGCAAGCCATGTGTTCTGTAAGAAACTTTCTCATGTGAACTCTGAGCTGAAACGATGGAAGAGGCAGGTTTTCAAAGGAGTAGAAAGGAAAAAAACAGGATTTCCTAAGGAAAATAGTGGAAGTGGATAGGGCAGAGGAAGAGAGGAGTGTTTGGGAAGAGGAGAGGCAAAAGAGGGCAAGGGCAAAATTGGACTATGACAAATTATGCTTCCAGGAAGAAATTAAGTGGAGACAATGTTCCAGATGTTTGTGGTTAAAATAGGGGGATAAAAACACATCTTTCTTCCATAAAATGGCAAACAGGACTACTACCATTAAGAGGCTGGAGGAAGGAGAGGGAGGTGGTTGAAGGGGAAGAAAGGATAAGGCAAGCAGCTACTAATTATTTTTAAAACCTCTATAAAGAAAAGTGGAGAAGACCAAAGCTGGATGGGATGCCTTTTAAGAGTCTCTCTCAACTAGAGGCCAGCCAACACGGAGCAGAATTTTCAGAAGAGGAAGTTAGAGCCGCAATTGAAGAAATGGAAGGTGACAAAGCACCAGGATCAAATGGATTCACAATGGAATTTTTTAAAAGAAGCTGGAGTTTCATAAAAGAGGATTTAATGAAAGTATTTCAGGAGTTCCATCAGAATAGGGCGTTCAAAAGAAGCCTAAACTCTACTTTTTTGGCTTTGATTCCCAAGAAGAAAGGGGTGGTCGGTCTGAAAGATTTCAGACCAGTAAGTCTTATTAGCAGTGAGTATAAAGTGGTAGCAAAGGTGTTACCTAAAAGAATGAAAGGGATGATGGGTAAATTAATTTCAGAATCTCATGGAGCTTTTGTAGACAAGAGGCAAATTATCAATGGCATACTAGTGGAAAATAAACTCATTGATTCCAAGAGAAGAAGTGGAGAGGGGGTATTGCTTAAAGTTGACATGGAAAAGACATATGACCATGTAAATTGGGATGTATTACATGCTTAAAAGGTTCAACTTTGGTAGGAGTAGGAGGAATTGGATAAAGGTGTGCATAACAACAGCTAGCTTTTCTATTCTGGTAAATGACGTTTCAGCAGGCAGATTTCAGAGTTCAAGGGGCCTAAGGCAAGGTGATCCCCTCTCTCCCTTGCTGTTTATTTGTGTTTCGGAAGCTCTAAGCATGATGGTGAATAAGACAGTGGAAGGAGGACTCCTAGAGGGCTTTAAGGTGGGTCAAGAAGTGGAGGTAGCACTGTTGCAGTATGCTGATGATACTCTTTTCTTTGTCAATGTGTCAAAAGATCAAGTGGAAAGAATCAGAATGATACTAATATGGTTTGAAGTGGTCTCTAGACTTAAAGTCAACATGCACAAATGTGAGTTAATGGCAGTGGGGGCTGGCCCTAATTTGGATGTGTATGCAGATATTGTAGGCTGCAAGGTTGGAAAGTTGCCATCAAAGTACTTGGGGATGCCACTTGGAGAAAAATGCATTTCTAAGAAGATTTGGGATCCGGTGGTGGAAAGAATGGAAAGGAAACTAGTCTCTCGGAAATCAAGGTATCTATTGAAGGGAGGAAAACTGGAAAACTTACAATATTAAAAAGTGTTTTATCTTCTCTTCCCACTTATTTATTGCCTCTCTTCTATATTCCAGCCATGTGGCCAAGATGTTGGCGAAGACAATGAGAGATTTTCTATGGCAGGGTTGAAGGATGATTTTAAATTTCATTTAATCAGCTGGAGTAAAGCCTGTAAGTCAAGAAAGGCTGGAAGTTTGGGGTTAAGAAATGTGAAAAATTTTAACTTGGCTTGTCTAGGGAAATGGTATTGGAGGTGGAATGAACAGACCACAAACCAATGGAGAAAAGCAATAGAGACCAAGTATGGCGGGACCCAGGGGAATCAAATCTACTTTACGGATGTGCAGTCTGGAGGGGTATTCAGAAATCAGCAAGGGATTTTAGACAAGGATTAAGAATGGAAGTAGGAGATGGATCTAGAGTTAGTTTTTGGAACGAGGTCTGGTGCGGGGATAGCCCTCTTAAGGACAGATTCCCAACCCTCTTTGATATTGTTATCAACAAGGAGTGTATGGTGTCGGAGGTGTATTCTTAGGATGGAGGGGCAGGTCAGTGGTGTCCCAGTTTTAGAAGGAACCTAAATGATTGGGAAGTGGAGCAATGGGAGGAGCTAGTGCAGATCCTGAATGCGGTAAGGGTGGATAGAACAAGGAGGACAAGAGGATTTGGGCAAGGGAGAAACGAGGTTTTTTTTCTTTTTTGAGAAAAAGGTTAAGGTAAATTTTATTGATATGAAATACTAGTACAAAGCACCCCCCCCCCAAGGAAAACACCTTAATAGGGGAAACAACCCAAACAGAACAAGATTACAGATGCCATAGGCTCCTAGGCCTAGCCCCAAACTGAGAGGCCTGAATCCCCTTAGAAGCCGAGACCCAAGAAATCAGCTTTCCAAAAGAAATAGATATCCGGTCCTCCGGATCCATATATATTCTGGATTAATCTTTTCTTCCTTTCTGCCCAAATGGTGCTGATGACTTCAGCCGGAATGGACATCCACACAACTGAAGCAAGCTTTGACAATCCCTGTAACCCCCAACCCCATAGCATCTCCTTCACTGAAGCTGGCATAGTCCAAGCAAGACCCACCGTACAGAAAACGATTCCAAATTCTAGCAGAGATAGAGCAGTGCAGAAACAGATGGCTGTTATCTTCCACTTCTTGACCACACAACACAGCTCTGATCCTGAAGCTGAACCTCTCTCTTAAATAGGTGGGCTTTAGTTAAGCACCTGCCTAGAGCTGTGGCCTACACCAGAGCATTGATTTTTGAGGGGGATATTGAATTCCAGATTCTAGAAGCAGGCATGTCTTCTGAAAAACTTGCTGTCAGGTGTGTGGCAAATGACTTGACTGAGAAGAGACCATCAGTGCTCCAAGTCCATGACCAACTGTCGTCTTTGAGAAGATTCAGGGGTTGAAGGGAGAGCAGTTCAAGTAGATCCGCCAGGTCTGTGATTTCTCAATCCTGAAAATTCTTACTAAAAGAAGAGCACCAGGCTACTGAGTTCCCAATAACCTCAAAACATTCAGCAATCACTGCATCTTGGTGCTCAGCTAACTGAAATAATTGTGGGAATAAGTCAAATCCTTTTACGGCAACCTATGTAGTGATGAGGAAGCTAATTTCCCCGAAGACTTGGTATGGAGGATCGTGGCTCATCTAAAAGTCTCTTTTTGTTTGTGCGTGACATCTTTGGGGCGGTGCCTAACAGCTGATAATCTGTCAAAGAGAGGTTGGGTGGTAGAACCAAGCAGATGTATCAAAGAAATATGAGGCTTTTTGAAGACAATTTGAGGTCAGAGGAGGAAGTCTTAAACAGCATTTGGGGAAGGTTATACTCCTGAGTGGCAATTCACAAATTGTTCAAGAATTGTCCTTACAGCTTTTTTTGAGCACAGTAATATTTTTGTATGATGTTATTTATCAAAAAAAAATTGTATGATGTTCATATAGCGGTTTTTTGGGATGCAGAAAGTGTTTTTGTCTTGCCCGGTGCCTCATTGGGCAAGGCTGTATCTTTTCAGTTTGTTTTAATGAATTAGTTTACCTTTTCTCTCAAAAAAATGAAAAGTAAATGACATATTTAATGAAGAGAAGATGGCTAAACGAGTAAAAGAGAGACAAAGACAAAGATACCTATTCTCTTTTTTTTTTTTGAATAAGTCTCTATTCTCTTATTTGATTTATACAATTCTGTATTATGATTTTTGAGCCTTAAAGTGCAAATATACTTCTTGTAATGATTCTTTTAGTGAAATTAAGAAAATAACCTCAAAATTTCCCTATTTCTACATGGAAAAGTGTCCATTGATATTGAAATTGCAAACCATGGTTTGGACCATATGGACAAAAAAGGAATGGTCGAATTTTTGAAAACAAAATCTGCTTGCAAGACTTAATTGCAAAGGCCCTATGGGGTAGGCTATACGCATGGGAGGCAGTGCATTGATGTTTGGGGTGTCCCTTTTTTTATTTGAAGGTAGAGTAAATTTTTATTGATATCACAATAAAAACAACACCATATACATGAGATATGCCAATCCCCAGGTACAACCAGGCTAATATCACCCCAATTACCACGAAGACCCCAATAGCACTCAATAACAGAAGTTTGAGGGGGGTTCCTTATAGTTCATTTTTTCGATAACAGATGTCATTTTTGTAATTAACATATGACAGAATGATGTATAGAATAATTGGGTAACCATGTCACAGCATCTTGCTGTGGTGGGACAGAGATGTATTCTGTTTTCATTTTAATACAATACCTCTACATAACATTCTTTTTCATTAATTAATCATATTGCAATACACTCAAAAAACTTCCCACCAACAATCTATGAATACATGATTCAATATTTAACCTATTCAAAAAATTATTAACAAATGATCATGTAGCAGACTCTTAGGCAAAGTGAATCCTTTGAGAGAATGCACTAGTAAGAAGAAACCAAGATAAGAAATGAGATAATCATAGACTGGAAAAATATACAAGTTTTACTTACAATACTTCCAGCCTTGTTATTGCTCCGAGTGAGGATGGTATTGTCCCACGAATGCTATTCCCGCTTAGGTTTCTAGAAAAATGCATCATGAAATGAAATGACATCAGGAGAAAGCACCCTTATCCTATAAGGGCATGGACAAACTAGGCACCCTGTTTTATTTATTAGGTGAAACTTTATCAGGCTCAACGAAAATAGGACCAGCATAAGGATGATAGACATACCCTTACACAACCATCTTATGTAAATTGGACATTGAAAATTATGCTAGTGAAAGACACACAAGTTATCAGACATGCATGTATGACATGATAACAACCTATGAAGCTTTTTCTGAATGATTTAATCCATGGAAATGTATCTATTCATCATGATGGAGCCAATTCTGATCCTCCTATTATATTTGAGGATGCTTCTGATATTTTCTTTTCCACTCTTGGTCATTGATAAAATATTTGTTAGGCAGTTGGTGAGGGGGCAGTAGCAAATGTAATTTCGTTGAATGCCTCATTCAATTGGGTTCCTAGGTCTGCAAATGTGTTGGCAGGTTCCTTAGCAAGAGAAGGGATAGGGAAAGAGTCTTTAGTCTGGAGCTACCCAGGTTCAGGCTGTAATTTGCAAATTCTATGTTGTAGGGTGTTGTTTTTTTAGTGGTGATTTTCTACTTTGTATTCTGTTTTTGCTCTGCTGCTCTGTTTTGAACAGTTGGAGTTTCTTAATATATTTTCAGTTACTTGTCAAAAAATTATTAAAAAAAAAGGAGTGGAAATACCAACATAGTAAATTAGTATTTGAAATTCTTGCACAATTAAAAAGATGCAATTTTCGGTTTGAGAATCTTCACATAGATCCAAAGAGCATTGCAGCATACATGCTTTGTAGATGTCGCAGCTTGGCTATGTCACTTGGCAAAAATCCCCTTAGACCTTGGTTGTCAAGACCACTGAACATGTAGAAGCAAGTAGTTACTCAGATATACAAGTACAAAGAATGGCAAAGAAACTGACATAATCAATAACCTGCTTAACAGCACAATGTCAAATGGAGACAAGACTTCCAGCAAATGAAGGAGAAGAGAAGAGTGTAGATTGGTGAAGTCAAAACCTAAATGACTGAAATAAAAAGATTCACATGATTCTCTTATGTTTCTTGGTAAGGTTTGTAGAAATAGATAGCATGTCATATGTTAAGAGAAGGGTATTCTTGTAATTTTTACTTTAACACATGTAGCCTGATCCTTAGGGTAACTCAGAGAAAATGCAAATGATTCAAATAGATCAACCAAATAACCTATTACACAAACAAAAGCTAATATTTAACTTCGTGTTTGAAATGAATATCAAGCTCACTCAAAGTGATAATCATGTACATTAGGCAATCAATAACATTGCTACTCCACGGACCAACAATACTGTCACCAACTTATGTTATAATACTATCTCTTGTACTCCATGGAAATGAAAATATTTGGAAATTTATGGACATTTTAAACCATGACTATGGCTTTAGCTTTTTAAAACAATATGAACAATAACTCGTCCTGATATCAAAAGTCAAAACAACCTTAAGAGCTTAGAAGAAAATCTAGAGCTTAAATGTTCTCCATACTCCATAGAACTAACCTGTGAAGCGCAACTAAGTAAAACAAGTAAACAAAAAACAAGGTCAATAATATGATTTTGCATTCCAATGTCTCTTTAAATTCCAAGGAAATAATTTTTCATTTTACATTAAGTAAACCGTCACTAATGCAGAAGAGAATTTTTCCATTTTTTTCTCATGTGCTGCTTAGTGGGGGCTGGGATAATATGAAATTTTTTGTATAGTTAGATGGGGCACTAGCCACACTGCTTTTCTTTTTCTTTTTTTTTTTCTTCTTTTTCTACTTTTCTTTCTGTTTTTGGGTATAAAGTAAAGAAGAAAGCAATGGAGCTTCAAAGGTCAGGATCCATAAGGTATTAACTAGGTAAAGATTACTTACAGTCCATCAATGAACCATTTGGCACTTATCCTGTCAAACTGGCAGTCCACTCCACTCCATGGATGTTGTTGGGGGACACACGGATCACCATTCCACCCAAAACGAAGAGGAAGCCCCAAAGCATTCTTCAATTTCTGTAAAGCCCCAACTATTAAAACAGAGATAACAGCATATCAGTGACAATTTCTAAATGTTTAAGGATATTTTCTTTACTTTGATTTCAATGCATCGTGTTGGCTTTACCTAAGCAACAAGATGCCTAGATGATTTGGAGGAGTGAGAGCATTTACTTAATAGACAATTGTCTAGGTTCCTGGGCAACAATTTTCCTTACACAACTACAATACCATAATCTGATATTATATAATATTTGAATGTTTACTTTTTAATGTATATGTTGTTATAATTAGTTATATATTAATTTTTAAATGTGTATCCAAATTCCAATACATAGTTATCTATTTCCCTCATTAAGGCTTCCCTTGCAAACATGCCTGTCTATTTCCTTTCAGTGTTTCAGATCCCTGCCAAAATCAGATCACAGATCGAAAAACTTCAAAGAGATTTCCTATGGGAAGGTGGAGGTGTTAGAAAAGGGCATCTAGTAAATTGGAGTCAGGTCTGCAAACCAAAAGAGGTTGGAGGGCTGGGAATCGGACACCTAAAAGAGAAGAATAATGCCCTCCTCGGAAAATGGCTGTGGAGATTCCCCATTGAATCAAACTCCCTTTGGGCAGCTATCATCACCAGCAAGTATGGGTTAAATGCAAATGGTTGGGACTGCAATCTCCGCTCAAACCGATCAGCTTCCTCAAATCCCTGGAAAGGTATCTCTTCCATTCACAACCTCTTTCTTTCTCTCATAAGATTTAGGGTGGGTAATGGAACAAGAATAAAGTTATGGACGGATCTATGGTGGAGCAAGTCCACATTAGCAGAATCTTATCCTAGGCTCTACAACCTTACCCTAAACAAAGGTGCAACTATCTCTCAGTGCCTCCCCAATTCTCCCAATGAAAGCAACATAAACTTGAGCCTCAGAAGACCCTTAAGGGAACCGGAGATCAGTGAGCTTACTGACCCCCTCCTCTCTCTTAGAGAAGTCTACATTTCCCTAAACTCCCAAGACTCCCGAGTCTGGAAACCCCACCCCAGAGGTGAGTTCTCGTCCAAGTCTTTATTCAAAGCTCTGGTTGCAGGAAACCGAGACTGTGACTTCCCTTTCAAGAAGATCTGGTGCAAGTTTGTCCCCTCAAGAGTGAGTTTCTTTGTTTGGGAGGCTTGTCCACATCAAGTAAACACTTGTGAGCTATTGCAGAAGAAAAACCTTGGAAGGCTTTTTAACTCCCCTCACGTCTGTATCCTCTACCTTCGTGAGGGAGAGACAACTGACCACCTCTTCATACACTGACAGGTAGCCAGCAACATCTGGAACTTCTTCCTACAGGCTATAGTTGGGTGGCTCCTAAGCACCTTCAGGAACTGATTTCTCAGTGACATGGAAGAGGTCTGAGCAAGAGAGGTAAGACTTACTGGCTGATAGTACTTCATGCTGTACTCTGGGGAATTTGGGAGGAAAGGAACAATCGACTGTTTGAAAATAAGATAAAATCTAAGGGTGAGCTGATCAACCACATCACTTATCACTGCAATTTGTGGGCTTCCAGCTCAGAGGAGTTCACAGGAAGTCAGGAATCAATGTTAACGACCTTAACAGAAAAGTGTATAACTTTCTGATCTCCTACCCTTCTATCCCACTCCCCCCCAGAGTTCCCTCAATAAGAAGGGAAGGAACTTGGACTCTAAGCTTTGATGGAAGTGCTTTTGGTAACCCTAGAGCTGCCGGCACAGGGGGAATCCTAAGATATGAAGACAGAGTTACCTGCTGGGTATACAGTGGACCGATTGGGATAGCTGACTCCACAAAGGCAGAAGTGTTAGCAGCTCTCACAGGGATTCGCCTAGTCAGCAAACTGGGTATTCAGAACTTCTCCATCGAAGGTGACACAGCAAATACTATAAGATGGTTAGGACAACAAGAGGCTGGACCTTGGAGACTTGGTCACTTCTTAACAGAGGCAAGGGACCTACTGGCTCATACGAATGTTTCTCTATACTGGATCCCAAGGGAGCTAAATGCCATCGCAGATGGTCTAGCAAAATTAGGAGTCATTCTGGAGACCTTGTACTGTGATAAATTTCCTCCTGTGTAATTTTCAGGGGTCTGGCCCCTGTTTTGTATTTGTACACCTTCTTGTGTACCCCTCTTTCCTCTAATGAAATTAGTTAACTTATTTCAAAAAAAAAAAAAGTTATCATCTATACTATAATGCACCATATCATACCTTTATGAATAATATTTTCTTCTTGTCAACTAAAAACCATGTATATATGTGTGGGT